ACCGAGGAAATTAATTTTCGTACATTAACATTATTTAGACCTTGCTGCACAACATTTGTCAGTACACCAAAATATCGAATATTTTCTGTTCAATTAAGAAAAGGATCCCGTTTTAGTCTATCAATTTAAAATAGATACATAGCATTTGTAAGAGTTACTTGGTATAGCTGTGATATATTTCAGTTAAGTTAAGCGCCATACAGGCAAGGTCGATAATTTCTTTTTCGATTCATAACTGACGAGAGACAGATTTTCCCGTAGTACGTGGCAGTTTTTTTTTTTTTTAAACAACTCTGCAGTAGAATTGGTTACCAAATCTGAATGAGATATTCATAACTTTCCCAAGTATTTAGATCATTTACATCTCAAATGATGAAAACAGATTGCTTGTGAATTTATAATATGTGTAATTGTTATTCTTCATTAAAAAAAATCTAAATATCAGTTTGTTATTTAAAAAGAACATTTTTGTAATGAAAAATAAAATAAAGTATGAAAAAAAAAAAAAAAAAAAAAAAAAAAAAAAAATTTTCGTACGCCGAACAGCGAAGTAAAAAAAAAAAAAAAAATAAAAAAAAAATACACTATTGGATATTGGTAGAAGAAAAATGGCAATAGGAAAAAGTTTTTGTCGACGCATTTTGTTTTCCGACTTTATCAAGGTGAACTTAAAGCGAAATGTTTGTTTTCATAGTTACATTAAATCCAAAATTTAAGAGAAAGACGCTTTTTTGCGTAAGAAGCGTCTTTCTGGCTGGTGTAATTTCCTTTAAGAGTTTGTTTTCTCTCTCATGTCGAGAATATAATAAAATTGCCAGGACAATTCTGTGTATAAGACAAATTGAAGAAAAAATAAAAAATGTTATTACTATTTATTGATATTTCCACCGCCATTTAAAAAGGATTAATGATATTTTTAGATTCTGACGAAATGTCACGGCTTCAGGAAGGTAAAATGAATGCTCATGTACGTTTTTTTTTTTTTTTAAACTACACACGAGTGGGCCTGCCAATGTAAGTCTTGAAAGCTAATGACCTCATGAAAAGTTTTCGTCGCAGCTTCGATATGAAGAAAAAAAAAAAAATTTTTTTTTTTTTTTTTTTTTTAACCCAAATTTAAATTAAAAATTAAATTCTCAATTAAATTCGTCTTACCGTGTACGATCTTAAATATACAGGAGTAGGAATACTGCCGATTTCGTTCTCGGCTTCTTCATAGAAAAGTAACAAAACTACTCAATGAAGCAGACGATCTTGTGTACAAATTTATAACTTTCTCAAGTTATATATTAAACAAATTTTAGCATCGGAATTTTACCGATGCTAATGAAAAATTTTTCTACAGAATCGCCCGAAACGAAAAACTCCCCATCCCGTTTTCCCTAAATAAAATCAGACATTACTAATTAAAGTTATAATTTGAAATAATTCGACACCAAGTCGAACATTCATAGTAACATGCTATTTTACGTGGCAAAAAAAAATTATCGTCTGTTTTGCCGTCAGATATATCAATACATCATCTAATATTCTATTACTGAAGTTATTGAAAAGATGTCTTATCACTATTCTAAATTTCTGTAAATAAAAATTTTCCAAAGATAGAACAGTAATTTAAAAATCTTGAACACTAGGCTTCAGAATAGGTGCCATTAATTCTCTTGAAGGAAAATAAAGCTTTTCAAAATTACATGGGCACTGAATTTAAGTTTTAAATGATGAAATGGATGGAGAGTGAGACACGATTACATATTGTTGTAAAAGGCATTTTCCGAACAGCTACTAAATTTCAAAGAATTTTAGTTGGACATATTTTGAAGCACGATATATATCTCCCAAACTACCGTGGAGCAATTGAATGATCATCAAGACACTAGATTTTCCGGTGGAAAGATTTAATTGCTCTACGTCGTCTTATCTACATCAGCTTGAAAATGCAAGGCCATCTGAAAGAACATGACGGCATTTGTCCGCCCACCCCCTGGAAGGAGTCCTTTTCGGTCGCTTTTGAAAAAGTTACGGTTTGCACACATCTGACGAAAGAAGGGATAATATTAAAGAAAAATAATTAAATGAGGGAGAACTTCGGAACGCGATTAAAATAATTTTAATAAATAATCCACGGTTAAAATAAGTGATAAAAAGTTCCGAGTGTAAAAGGGAAAAATTCTCACTCAAGTCTCGCCAAGCAAATGGATCGAATAAAATGTTCTTTCTGCTTGCACAGATCCGGCTAAATGTAAATTATTGCTTCAAGAACACGCAAGCGGTGAACAAACCGGGTTCTGTGTAAAACAGGGAGAGAGAGGAAAAAAAAAAGACCACAGAGACAAGAACAAATGCTACCTACCATATTTGGTAGCAGAATCGGGATTATCAAATAGATGTTGGCCTATTGACAAATCATGTCAAGACCGAGTAGTCCTTGAAGACGAGGATTGCCTTTTATATTGGTCGAAACATTGACAAATACGCGTCGCCAACCTCAGACTAGTAGTCCGTCCCACATATTCAGCCTCACTGACGTTTATATAAGACATAACTACTTCGAATGAAAAACAGACTATCTTTAACAAAAGATAGTAACCTCGAATTAGTCTTAAAACCTCCTGTGACTTATAAACAGTGACAGAAAAACCTGATGTAATACAAGCCGACATTGTCTGCAAGCATTTGGCTCTTCCTACCTAGACACGACAGTTTCAAATAAACAGGACAAAGACTGGGATCAAAAACTACCGGTTCTTTGAAAGTCTCGTTTTACGATCAACCACGCGTTTAACATTAGCATGAAAACCACCGTCAATAAAAATTTGATTAGTTTTCTCCAGTTACCGGTCAAGAGTTCAAGGAGAGTAAATCATCTGAACGCGATGGACTAAGGTGGAAATCAGGTTAATCTTACAGGCTTTTGAAAGAAAAAATTCCAACGAATGTACAGACCCGTGTACCTAGGTTTGCATATAAACGCATGTCAAAGAAACAATCTCTCCGTTTAATAAGGACATCCAGGAAAGACAAAATTCAATCATTCTTCGCTTCCCCGTGGTAAATTGCAAGGATAGATCAAGGGAATCGAGTCTATTATGAATAGTCGTAGCATCGTTGAGGGAAAACGTGTCATCAACGTAGCGTAAAGTATGAGTTTTACGGCATTTTTCAAACAGAAGCTTTCCAAAGACAAAAAGACTACCCATCGATTTGGACGTACATAATATTACCAAAGCTAATCTCATTCAGTTTCTATATTATATATATATATATATATATATATATATATATATATATATATATATAGTGTGTGTGGTACACGCTTGGAAAAATCTTGGGTATTTTGACTTAGTTGAACAAACCAGTACAAGGAATAAATTAAAAAAAAAAAACCAAAAACCAAGAACATGAAACTGAGGCGAAAACAATAGTCCAGAATTCAAGCCCAGAGTCCAAAGGAAAACCCTCCAAAACGAGTAAAGGCATTTATGTAAAGTGCTCAATACACGAAGTAGAGCAAGCATAAGGAGCCAGGCAAACCTAGGTAGGTTTGCCTGGCTCCATATAATATAACCCCCCCCCCAAATACTGGGTAGAGTTCTCCAAGCCTTCTAGAATAGAAGCTTTTAGAAGCAGTTTCAGTTCATTTAAAAAAATTGGTCACTAATGAAGAGAGGCTCTCCATGTCATTTAGAATACATCAACTCTTAAGAGCGCATTTTGTTTGAACTTTATTTCAATCCTTCGCGAGCTTAGCTATGATTAATGAATGACGAATATGTCATTTTCGTTTATTCAAGATTTCATTACTATTCTTCGGTTCAGATTTGAGAGTAATTGTACATTCTTATTGATCAGAGTTCAATATCGTTACCTCGGAGAACTCCAGCAAGAGATCTTTAAATGACCAAGATTAAACGATTAAGAGCTTAATCTAACAACGGGCCAATGTTGCCGTTACAAATGGCGTATATAGGATTAATGCGAGTAGAAGTTCATAATTTATCTGATTGATGTTACCTACAGCATCTCCACTCCAGTTTTTTTTTTTTGAGGCAGACATGTCAGTCCACTCTTCGTTGGGGGGTGGGTATCGGCAATTTACTACCTGCACATATAAGGTGTGCGCGCGCTCTACACATTGATTCCCTAAAGTTTAGTTTTTAGGCAAAATTGTTCAAACTGAATGTAGTTATTGAACAGGTGTGGTGCGCATATAAAGTTTCAGATTACGGGAGTACGCAGGATAGTGTTTGAACAGTAAACTAGAGATTCAGACGGCACTGGTTGAGAAAGCATCCTCTCGGGAGTAACAGAGGCTGTGGTACACTGCCTAAAAAAAAAAAAAAAAAAAAAAAAAAAAAGGGGGGCACAAAAAGTAACATACATGAACCTTGAAGAGAAAGATCCAATAGAAATGGCAAGAAATAGTAAACTTTATTTCTGATTCTTGAACGATTCCAGGCCAGAGAAACCAGCCAGTGGCTTCGACGAGTCTGTTTAATGAGCAGGTTCGTTGCTGGAATGCTTTGAATGGGAAGCGGCGGGGGGGTTGCGAGTAGAAATTTGCACACTAAAATTAGTTCACAGGACTTAATTCGGGAGACCGTGCTCCACTTGGGGACGCGCCAAGAAAGTCTAGGGGGGATGAATTTAGCCAGTCAAGTATTATGTCAGAGTCCCCCCTACCAACTACATAAAACAAAAAAAAAAAAAAAAAAATGGTCTAGATCAAGTAATGCTATGAACTTGTTACCCAGACAAGGAATGGAAAGTAACATGTAAAATTTGCGAGAAATGAACATTTGGTACGAAGTGGTTAGGACTACAACTGTAACGATAGATATTAGATAATCATAACTGGAAGAAAAAGGTCAGTGAATAGTTTTTAATGTTCGAACAATAAAAAAAATATAAAGGAAAAGAGATTAACTTAACGTAAACAGCAAAACTTAAAACCGGATTTAAACAGTAACGATTTAAACAATAGAAACAAGTTTAGAATAGAGTCAGCATTGACTTTCAGCTTCCAGTGATTCAGGTTTAGGGACCGCGGAACCTTGGTTTTCCTGGTCATTCGGCTCCTCTTTCTTAGGGGATTTCGCTTCGCCTTTCAGCGACAAAAAGCCGTCCTCCTCGTGAACGGAGAGATCGTTTTCAGATACTGTCTGGGAATGGTCACTCCCGCCGGAGGAGGATTGTGAAGATGTGCTGGGCTCATAGTCGTCATCGGGTAAGTCATCGTCAGACATGAAAGATTCGGTGATATCGTCAAGGGAGATCTTTCGTTTGAGGGTCGCTTTGCGATTTTCGTGAACCGGCTGGGCACGAAGTGTGCGGAGGTTTGGGTCGAGAGACAGCTTGAAGGGGATGGCACGATTTCCGGCAGTCAAGTGAAGCACCTCGTTGAGCAGGGTTTTTGCTCGGTTTAGGACCTTGGAACGAATGACTCGACGAGGTGATAAGACTCGGCGACCGACGGCAGTCACATAACCGCTTTGCATTTGGAAGTAATCGTCAATGTCATGGGTCAGAGATCGCTGGAAGTTTAGGAGGGCGACCAGAGCGTTAACAGGATGTAGAACAAGCCATGTGAAGGCGAAAGAGAAGAGTTTTTCCAAGGAGCTTTCTTGGACGAATGCGATCGTCGTAAACTGCTCCTGACCCTCAAGGTCCGGTTTCTCTTGCTCGGCTACGGAGACGGTTTCAGACGAAGATTTCTCACATGCTGGCTCTTGTTTTACGAGAATTTCTTCATGCTCCTCTGGTTCGGAGGTTGGGGATTTACTGGACAGGGGGCAGTTGACGTAGTGTTGTAAATAAGGACAAGATGAAAGGCAGAGATTGTCAGTTTCCACGACCCTCTGCAGGCGACGAACAATGGAACCAGAAGTGTCAACAAAGTCGTCCATACAGCGTATGTAGGCACGCACTATGGACACCCTGAAGAACTGGTGGCCTTTTTTACGAAAGTTCTTTGTGAGAACATTGAAACGATTTTGTAAAGGAGACGGTAGCTCCTCGAAAGACATGCTCCGAAGAAAGACTAATCCTTTAGAAAAGATCTTGGGCATGGTTTTGGTTGTCCTTTGTGCGTTTGGGGAAGGGGCAACTTCCTTTGAATTTTCGCCAATGTCTGGAACTGCATCCACCGAGCTTGTCTGGGTTGAGAGTGTTTGCGGAACAGAGGAGTCTGCTGAAGGAAAATCGTCAATTTGCAGATTTTTAACTTCCTGTTGTGGAAGCACGCTTTCAGCCATTTTTTTTTCTTTCCCTCTTCAATTAGCCTCGCGACTACTTCTTTTTATTTCCTTCCGTTTCGGTTAACACCGGTGCACTGAAAACGGCTAGTCATTTCAGCATATTTATGGAATTTCGTAAATCCTCTAAACTATCAATTAGCCAATCATAATTTAAAATATAATAATAAAAAAAATGTTTATTTAAATATTTATTCATATTAATTTATTAAAAAGAAAGAAGAAAAAAAAACAATCATTTTTTGCAATGTATCTTATTACGCGAAGAAAGGGGTGGAAGGCTGGAATGAATCAAAGGCTTATCTTTGTCGAAACAGAGTTAAGGGTGATACTGAGTATGTTTAATTGGTTTTTGTAATTCGGTCTACGGAAAGAGCCCGGAAAAAATAACGGGGGATAGATTTGACGATATTTATTGTATATAAAAATACAATTGTGGCACAAGGCCGAAAAGAGGAAAGGGTGTTGAGGCTGGTCGTCACTAACTATCTTACACCTAACTAATTCGATTCACGACCCATTCATTCATTACAATTTGCACATTCACCACAAAAACTCGTTCGTCACCAAACAATCCTCTATATACCATAATACCACATCATCTCAGGGAAGACCTACAAAACGCACCCCGTGATTTAAAAATTTGATGATCCGGGGCTAGATTTGACTTCGTTCAACAAAACTCTACATGGTACATAGCACCGTTAAGCCAATATGCATCCATCTTGGAGAAAAGGCTGGTGAGAATTTAAAATTTGATTTATTTGAAATGGATGTTTTGGATGAATTGTCTAGTCGATTTAATTTAGTGACTTTTTCTTTTTGTTCGTGTTTCTTTAAATTTCGTTATTAAATATCTCACGTTGAGATGATAGAAGGTCTGCCAAGAAACGTGAAATGTCTTTTCACCCTTAAAATCGTACTTAATAAATCAAAAAATTATATATCGTTTTGGCATATATATATATATATATATATATATATATATGTGTGTGTGTGTGTGTGTGTGAAAAACAATATATATATATATATATATATATATATATATATAAATATATATATATATATATAAAAGAAATATGTTGTAGTGGTTCCAACGAGAGAAAAGTATGTATATTAAAAAGAAGAGAAGAGAAGAGAGGTGCCGCAAACGTTTTTGGTTGTAATGTGGATTTATTTAGAAAAAATATTATGCTTTGTTTTACATAATTTTACGACACGTGTTTCTGGTCTCGCGACCGTCTTCAGGTAAAAGCGGAGATTTCCACATATTATTAAAAATAATTAATTTTTCCTTATGTTCAATGCTAAATATTCTCGATATGAGACATTCTCTGTTTGTGTGTTGGTAATCTGAATTTCTTTCTTGAATTGGCAATGAAGAGTTCTGCGCGAAGGGTCATAAAACAATGAAGGTTGGTCCAGCGAGATGATGAATTAGTTATCGGCATTTTATCTTTTAATGTTTTACTGACCCTTATGTGTTCTTGGATCTGTTTCCATTTTGGTGCGTTTCTGTCAGCATGCGTGTATATATGCGTGCGTATATTTCCCCTCCATACATATACTGTCTTACTACGAGGAATTCGTAAACTTATTTGTACATATACACGCATACACACACATACGCACATACACACTATCACACCACAAGTAATCAGTACACACACACACACACATATATACAAATACGTCCCAAGCTACATGGAACCAGTATACACACACACACACACACACACACACACACACACACACACACACACACACACACACACACACACACACACACACACACACACACACACGTACTTCTTAAGTTGTGTGGGGTTTGGATGTGGGCTCGTAAATAGTGGTCCCCCTGTTTTGTCAACATCCGCATATACATAAATGTATGTATACATACATATATATATATCCTCGTGTCTCCCGTATATGAGTGTGCGTTCATGTATGTGAGTGATTTGATCATTGCATTTGGTAAAATTATGTAAAACGAAGCATAATATTTTTTCTAAATAAATCCACATTACAACCAAAAAAGTTTGCGGCACCTCTCTTCTCTTCTTTTTATTTATATATATATATATATATATATATATATATATATATATATAAAGAGAGAGATAGAAAGATAGAAAGATAGATAGATAGACAGACACACACACGAGTACATATATATCTATATATATGATAAAAATATGTTTTAAGGTATGCTATATTTATGGGGCGAAGTGCTCAATATGAGGTCAGCACCCAGAGGCGGTAGTCATTTTCGTGCTAAATGCCTTGGTCAGACTATACACACACACACACACACACACACACACACACACACACACACACACACACACACACACGTGTGTGTCTGTGTATGCGTATATATATATGTTATTTTTTACTTTTTAAGATAAGGTATAAAAGTGCTCAGTATCAAAGATAGAGCGTATGTAAATATAAAAATGGACATTGAGATTAACACCAATTGTCGACAGTCTGTTCCATGATTCAACGCAACCTTCATGGCCTGATGGTTGCGTTGAATCATGAAACATACTGTTACCACCCACTTTTTGACCTCAGTGCCCATATATATATATATATATATATATATATATATATATATATATATATATATAATATTTAATATTTAATCTGTAGATGTAGGTATAGTATAGAAGACTTATTGTGCCACTTGACTCGTGTCTTTTTCCACTCGCTTTATTTCCCCAAATACTGTAGTCGTCTTGGCTAGCTAGGCCCACCCAAGTTTTTTATTTTTGTTTACTGCCTCCCCTCCATCCGTTTGGTCGGGTGTATACACGGTTTTTTCCTTTTTTTCCCATAATGCAATAAGTTAGGATGTGTCAAGTTATTGCGTATAATTGATAGGCTCCTCCTTCTTTCATTCGCGTTCTAGTCGCCTGTAGATCACAAGAGCGTGGAACTTGAGTAGCGACTCAAGTTGTCCTTTATTAAAGTTTGTAAAGCTCTGTCGAAAATTTAAACAGAGCAAAACCCCGTCAAATAAACTTCAAAGTTCTCAACACATACATGTCTAGGCGTTGAACATTTTAATTTTACTGCGTAGGAACGTGTTAGACTTTTTTTTCTTTTCTTTTTTTTTTTCCTAGTTCGAGAGTTTTCTTGTTTTAGGTATTAGGTCTTTTAGCAAGTTGTCTGTAGCTCACACCAAAATTTATATATATATATATATATATATATATATATATATATATATATATATATATATACAAGTATAGGATTGGTGTATACGGAATAAATTTCAATAACCAAAAAATACTATTCTTACAAAGTGCTCAATACAGAGTAGAGCAAATATAATTTATTCGAAAATTATAACATTATATTATGGGCTTATGTAACAGCGTTTTCTCTATCGAGGGGTGTTAAATCGATTTGAATCTTCTAAAACTCTTTATTCTACATTCAACACCATCACTTGATAAGACACCAGAAGTGTTGAAACAAAATGGCTATTTTTGTAGTGATTTTATAACATATTTATATTATAATTTTCGAATGAATTATATATATATATATATATATATATATATATATATATATATATAGTGTATCGTAAATGTGACGTCATGAACTCTGACATTTTATTTACTAATTATTTAATTTTTGTTTCTTTCTCCTTCTGAGTAGATAAATTTGCCTATCGATCGGTTTCTTTGTTTCCTGCTTAGGATTGGGTTCACGGTTCCCCCTAAAGTATTTTCATTCTGTTTCACTTTCAGTAGCCCTCTTGCGCCTTAGTGGCATTATTACCTTGATTGAGGTGAATTGATTAAAAAAAAATGTGTAGAACGGTTTCACTGAGCTTGAAAGCATTACTTAGGCATAAAGTGAATTTGTATCTACTCATACATTTTCAACGCATGAGGGTCCAACAGAATGTTGCTCCCCTGAGCCCTCATTTGAGTTTGTGCCTTCAATGACTTTTAAGCCCAGCTTGATATCTAAACAGTATTCTACATAGAGGTCGGCTTACGGCCGCATAACATTGTAATCAGGGCCTGGTCAAGGTACTGGCTACTCGGGCAGTCACCCGGGGCGCCATCAAAGCCGAGGACGCCATCATGCCGCCATGTCATGTGTTCGGAATCTCCCAAACAAAAAGAAAAAAGTGAAAATAATAAATAAAATTAAAAAAAAAACAACAAAATATTAAATTTCCTGAGGGAGTAAAACATTTTCAGAATCGGCCTATTAATGCTTTCTGATATAGTGTAGAGATCAAACCATGGAGTGTGTAAATTCCTCTCTCTTGAGTGGTATACACACTCTGATATTTACCGGTCACAGGGCTCCGTCCCTGTGCTGGTGGTATCACGGCTACGACTAGCTTGGACCGGCTCTGACCAGTTTGGACCAGCTATGACTAGCCAATACCAGCTATAGCTTAAACCAGCTCTGACCAGCTTGGACAAGCTATGACCAGCTAAGACCAGCTTAAACCAGCGGCCCGAGTGAAAAAACTCGGATCCCCACGTTAAAAACTAACCTTGTGTCACAACCTACTCAGTGGTGGTTCAAGTAAATCTCACTTACCGGTCACAGGGATCCGTCCCTGCGCTGGTAGTATCACATCTATGATTAGCTTGGACCGGCTCGGGCCAGCTAAGACCAGCTACGACTAGCTTAGACGAGCTCTGAGCAGCTTGGACAACCTGTGACCAGATAAGACCAGCGGTTCGAGTGAAGACATTCGGGTCTCCACGTTAAAAACCGACCTTGTGTCACAACCTGACTCAGTGTGTGTGTGTGTGGGGGGGGGGGGTTCAAGTAAATACAGTGGAGATCAAACCATAACAGAAAATGGATGAGTGGGGGTTATTCTATATTTTCAGTTTTTCTCCTTGTGAAAATTAAAAACAAAATTATATTTGTAAGGGCATCGAAGTTCAGCTTGCCCAGTGCCAGCAACCCCTAGGGCCGGCTCTGGTTGAAACCACTACTGCTGATCAAATTAT